ATAGAAAAAACAAAACAAAGACAAACACTTTAATTATTTAATAACTGCGGCTAGAATAAACTATGCGAGATATTGGAGAACAAGGGAGATCCCTACCCAGGAACAATGGATAATGAAGATTATTGACATCATGAATATGGACAAACTAACACAACTGATGAATGCCAATACAAAACTAATAACACAAAAAACAGACTCGACCCTAGTAATTAACTTTTTAACTCAAGAGAATTTGAAATGGATGATTGGTTTAAGTTGAAAACCGAAATATAAAGCGCTAAAGGAAGAGGATTTAAAAATGACAGTTGATGATTAAAAGATGATTCAGAAGACTACTACTACCAGAGTAAAGATGATTGGAAGCCAAACCTCACCCCTTTTCCCCCAAAGCCATTTTCCTAGCCAAACCCACACTATACCACTACTCCCCAACCTAACCCTACAATTCCTGAGCTTACCCCAATTCCTTTTTCTTTTAACCTAATTCCGTAGGTTTAACCTAACCTAACACCGGGATTGTGGCGCAGCTGGCTGAGTGTCAGCTGCATTAAGATCACTCTCACCAAAAGGTCATGAAGCCAGCCCGGGTTGGAGTGGGTTTTCAACCAATTGTGTAGCCCATTGTCGACCTTTGCAACCCGAAAGACAGTTGCATCTGTCAAGTAGGAAAATAAGGTACCACCTTAAAGTGTGGGGAGGCTAAATTAACTGATTTATGAGGCCATAAAGACTTCAGCAAAAGCATGCGGGGAATGCGGAAGTACTTCATCAGTGTCGCAGATGGACGATGAAAGCGACAGCTCCCCTGGCGGCCAGAAAAAAGTTAAATAGCCTCTGTCTGTCTGTATATGTTGTATGTTAAAATTGGCATTGAATGTTTGCCATATATGTGTACACTGTAATCTGCCCTGAGTCCCTTGCGGGGTGAGAAGGGCGGAATATAAAAGCTGTAAACAAACAAATAAATAAATAATAAAAACTTCAATTTTTTTTTAAAATACAGGAAGGTAATGGAAGAGCCTCTGTTCTTGGACAAACTTTGATTGAGCAGTAAGGGCTATCTGTATTTCAGCTTGTTTTTGGTTTCTTCTGCATTTATTTTTTTATATAAAGTGTCTGAATTCTCTGCTTTTTATTAGCGCATTATCTCTCTGCAACCTTCATATAGTCCTCCTCCAGAATCATTATGCTGTCATTCAGCTGTGAGTAGGTGGGTGCAGGAAGTCCTAGAGTGAACTGAACTACAATAAGGTGCACTGAAGTACACTTTATGATCGAGCTGTCCGTAAAGGACAGTGCTTGATGCTCATAGAATATTACGGTAAAAATATTAAAGTACCATTAAGTGGTGTGGGCAAGAGCTGTATTGTTTGAATTGGGGAGGGATAGGCTGTGATTTCAGAAGAGTAGACACATGCCCTTGTTTCTTCTAGGTCAGTGGCTCTCAACCTGTGGGTCCCCAGATGTTTTGCACTTCAGTTCCCAGAAATCCTAACAGCTGGTAAACTGGCTGAGATTCTGGGAGTTGTAGGCCAAAACACCTGGGGACCCACAAGTTGAGAACCACAGCTCTAGGTGGTTGAATGACTTTAACCTTGGAAACGTGATAGGGTCACTTCAAAATAAAGTACTGAAATCTGCCTATGTAGAGAACTCTTCGTACAAAATGGCATTTAAATTTTTAAAGTTAGAAGTCTTTAAATTTTTAAAGTTAGAAAGTCAGAGCTTTTGATCTTCCAGAATGATGGGATTTTGAAAGCATAGAAATAAGATAATGTTCATATCATTGTCTAAATGGAGAACTTCAATGTTCACAATGTAAAGCAAAGTCAGGAACTCCTTTTGTTGAAATGCACATATTCTCTATTATAGGCTTGAGCTACACCACAATATCATCCAGATTATCAAAGCAGATAATCCACATTATCTGCTTTGAACTCAATTATATGAGTCTACACTTCTGTAAAATCCAGTTCAAAACAGATAATCTGCATTTTATATGGCAGTGTAGATGGGGGTTCCAACACAGGTGTACACACACTATCCAATTACAGATATGTTAAAATCCTGGACTGTTCTTTGGTTTATTGTAGACAGGTCCCAATTTTCCCCTGGGGAGGGAAGGAAGTGCTCTAAAGAAAGTTGGACAAACTAGGATTTCTCAACATTAAATCTGTGTTTGTGAGATAGAGAAGATGCCAGTAAAAGAGAGAAAAGGGAAGATGCAAGGACATGGAAAAAGCTTAAAGCCCCAACAGCCTATAATTCATTAAAGGAGAAATTCCCATGTAAGAATGATATAAAACTTATGTGACGGCGCGAGTGGCGCCACCTATGTATAGAACTGTTAGTTGTTAGACTTAAACTGTTGTATCATGTTTAATCCTGCCCCCTTTTTACATTGCTTGTGTACAGTTGTATGGATTGGTTGCTTGTAGCTGTCGATCAGTACTGTTGGCTCCACCTCTTCCTGCAAGAGGGGAGAACTTCCTTTTCTTTTCATTCTGCCTTCAGAGGTCCTGCCAGATGGACATGAGTAAGAGATCTGACTCGAAAGGACCCTGATTTAAGTTACCTCTTAGCACCAGTTCTGAGGTTTTTTACCCCTGGGACTCATGCTTTATGTCCAGATCGTCCTGGATAATTATTGAGGAGATCCAGGCGCCTTCAAGCCGGTTCTTTTGGCACCAGAGGAAGATTCTGAATCTTCAAGACATAGGCCATCTGAACTGGGGTTGTGGTTTGCTCCGGCATTCACAGCCATTGAGGAAAGAGGAAACTTGGTGAGGCTTCTCAGCTTCAAACCCCTTGGACCCAGGACTAATTGAGACTGTAGAGTATCTAAAGTTTTCCAGCTTATTGCTCTGAAGAAATGACTTTGTGATCAATAAAACTTATTTTGAGCTATTTACATCGTTTTGGGTTTTTGGGAGTTCCAGTTTCCTAAAGGAGGGCAAGAAGCAATCCCTTGGGGGAAAAGTGCCACGTCCATCCCTCCTTCATTAAGACTAATATCCCCCAAGCGTGACGGCACAACTTCCTTTGAAAGTATCTACATGGGGCTGAAAAGTCTCATTGAAGTCTTCCAAGTAGAGGGTGCACACAAATCAAGTGGAGATAAGGCAGTGTTTAATATATAATGGAACACATTAAAAATGAATAGTGTGAAAAGAGATTTGAATCTTTGCATATTCATATGATATATCTTTCTCAATAAAAGTCAATATATATATGCATGGCTATTTGCTGTTGGTTTGTATGACAAAGGCAGCTACATGGCTTGATGGATCTGGACCAAACTTGGCACATGTACCCTAACTTATCAAGTTTAAAATAATTGAGGGGTTTAAACATTTTTTTAAAAATCAACTCCTTTCAGGCCTACAGAAGCAAAAAAAGAAAAGAGACAAAGTAAATTGGCTGCAGCTAGGTGAAGTGACCCTCTATCATGTGATTGGGAAATAAAGAGAATGAAGGAGATTGGTTGTTGCTAGATGTATGAGGGGAAGAGAGGAAGGAAAGCAAGAAAGAAAGAGAAAAAGAATAAAAAGGAAGGCAGAAAGGATGGAGAAGAAAGAAAAAGTGAATGAAGGAAGATAAAGCAAAGAGGAAAAAATATGAAGGGAGGGAAGAAAGAAAAAGGGAGAAAGGAATGGAGAAGAAAGAGGGTGAGAAAAAAAAGGGGGAAGGAAAAGAAAAAAGGGAGGAATGTATGAGAGGAAAGAAGGAAGGGAAGAGAAAGAATGGAAGAGAAAGGAAGTGAGAGGGGAAGGAGGGGAAGAAGAGAAAAGAAAGGGAAAGGGTATGAGGGGAAGGAATGGAAGAGAAAGGAAAAGGAGAGAAAAAAGGAGAGAAGGAAGAGAAAAGAAAGGGGAAAGTGTATGAGGGGAAGGAAGGAAGGGAAGATGAAGGAAGGGAGGAAGCAAAGAAGGAAAATGTATAAGGAAAGCAAGGAAAGAAGAAAGGAAAAAAAGAGCGATAGAAGGTGTATGAGGGAAACGGAGGAAGCCACAAAGAGAGCTTGCCCACTCGTTACTAGAATGTTGCAATGGAGACATTGTGCGGTAGACATTCTCAAAGCTGGAGAAAGGAGAAATCAGGTAGACAGTGGCCACTCTGACACCCAGGCAATGCTGAATATATACACTAGTATAAATATAAATAAACTCTGGAAGCTCTGCATGTTACGTGCATGTGCAGGGGAAGTAACAACAACAACAAACCCAAAACTACATGGTTATGACAATACTGGATTCCACCCTAATGAGAGATATGCATATTGCTGGCACGATCCCTTACTGCAGTTTTGCATTTGCAAGTGGTTCATAAGATTGGTTTGTTTTGGACTCACAAAAACATGTGCAACATGTCAGGCGGTAAACCGGATAAAAAATAAACTGATTCTCCCTATGAAAATCAAACTTCAGATAGTTCTGGCCCTCAACTCTTATCAGCTAGGGGATCAATTTTTTTCCTATTTGGAGTTATATATAATAGTATAGCCTTGGATGATTTCAAAATGTAGAGAAATAAAAAGATAAGGGCATCCTCCGCAAGTCCTCCAAAGTGATATGAGACTTGGATCCCTGTTCTGAGAGACAATTATAGACTGAGGACACATTGAAAAAATTGGTTGAACAATTCTGCCTACATTTCTGTGTCCATGGCAACAAAAACTGGAAATAGACAAGACATTTTATAGAGGTTAGAGGACAAAATATGGTATGAATAGGTGACTAAATTGTGTATGTTCATCCTTTCACTGCTTCCGTTTACCACTTTTGTGTGTTTGCGCAATAATTCAGAAAGCTGCACAATGGCTTTGAGCTGTGAGAGCTATTACTGGGCAAATAAAAATGACTGCAACACGTTTGTTGCTAAAACTCCATCCACTTCCGTGCTCTTAAACTTCTCTTCTGTCTTTGCCAGCATTGGTACTCTTTATCTCCTGCCCAAGCAATCAATCCCTCAAAGTGTCATACTGTGACCCCCAAAGTTACCTTTCCGTTTCTGTGATTTGGAGAGAGATGGATAGACAGGATGCTCAGATTCTTTAGGCTTATTTTCCAAGACTTCTCAGAAAGTCGTGACAAAGATTGGAAAAGGAAGGTGGGAAGACAGACAGAAAGAGAGGAAGAAGGAGGAAAAAATTGAAAGCGCATCTTCTCTCAAACCCACCACTTCCTGCATAGGTAACAATTACACCTTTCCTAACAACAGACAATGTGCCTTTTTTTCCACTCTTCCCCAGAAGCATGTTGTTCGATGTCATTCTTCCACCATTGCCATTTCTGCAATGCATATCTGCCTACAAGTTAACTTCACTGATCTGAACTTTGCTTTGGTTTAATATTTTTTAGTTTTTCTGGTTACATAACCTTGTGGCTATTAGGTTATTCTATATCAAGCTTTTCTTCTCTCCTTAACATTTTTTCTACAGCCTTAACATGATTTGAACCATGTAATGTAGACTGGGGAGCCTGTGCTGTTTCAAATATTGTTGAACTAGTAAAAAGGCTGCCTTGGGACTCAACGCTGTCACTTGATGCTTAAGTGTCGGCGATGGCCGGGAGGGCATTTGCACAACTCAAACTCTTGTGCGACCATACCTCGTGAAGTCTGACTTGGCCAGCGTGGTCCACACCTTGGTTACATCCAGATTGGACTATTGCAATGCGCTCTAAGCGGGGCTGCCCTTGAAGCTGGCCCAGAAGCTCCAACTGGTACAACGGGTGGCAGCAAACTATAGGGAGCATACAACGCTCCTTTTAAAACAGCTTCACTGGCTGCCAATAAGCTGCCGAGCCAAATTCAAGGTGCAGGTTGTGACCTATAAAGCCCTAAACGGTTCGGGCCCCGCCTATCTTTGCAATTGCATCTCCCTCTATGAACGAGCACAAACGTTAAGATCTTCCAAGGAGGCCCTCCTTTCACTCCCACCACTGTCACAAGCACGGTTGATGGGAACGAGAGAGAGGGCCTTCTCGGTGGTGGCCCCCCGCCTCTGCAATGCCCTTCCTAGAGAAATAAGACAGGCACTATCCCTCCCCTCCTTTCGTAAGAGCCTGAAAACCTGGTGGTTTAAACAAGCCTTTGAGAATGACTAGTTCTAGCTCAGCCCCAGATACTGTTGAAGATGGCCATATCTTTTTCTACCAATTACCCAGGTTATCTCCTCCTGTTAGGCCCCGGAAATGAACAGCCATAGACTACCTAATTTCCCGGGCCCTCTACAAATTGCACTAGCCTCGCCCCAGCCTTTTAAATTGCCTTGAACAGGCAGAATTATTTTAAATATATATGTGCCATTGTGATATTTTTAAAGATTATATTGTCTTGTTAATTTTATGTCTATGCTGTTTTCTTTGTATGTATTGATGATGTTACTTGGAACATCATCTCTGAGTCCCCTCGGGGAGATAGAGCGGTAAATAAAGTTTTGTTGTTTGTTGTTGAGATTGCATAAGGGTCAGCAACCGCAGAGATGGCAGGGAGCTATCCTACCCACCCCTATTCTCCTTGGCAGACCATATTGTGACATTTTGACATGTTGGAAAGGATGTAATGTTAGTCCCCGTCATCATTTGGGCCTATTTTCAGTCTTTTGGTGTGTTGGGGAAAACTGTTTGAAGACATAAACCACCACATTTGTGATCTGATTGAGGTATCAATTTGGAATCCAACAACATCTGGAGGGGCACAGGTTCCCAACTCTTGATGGAATACTTCCCAAATGACTAAATGTAGCAACAGGCAAGGTTCCAGCACCATTTAAAGTTGTATAGAAGTGGACATTTGAGCACATCCAGTTTTTTTAGATCAGCGGCGAAAAGCTCTCTCTCTGTGTATGTCCTTTCAACTGTCAATTTATAGTGATCCCATAGATTTCATATGGTTTTCTTGGGTAAGGAATATCCTAAAGGCACCAGATCCTGTCTGAGCTTAGCTGCAATGCAGGATCAGCCTTGGCTAGTCTTGGATGGGAAACCACCAATGATTTGCAACTACAGTAGGGGATCCATTCCCGGATTCTTCACATTTTCACATAATCTGGAAATCCATTTTTTCTCACCTGAAATGTCTTGAACTTACAGATGAACCGTACCATAGAAAAGCTCTGGAGGACTAGAAATGTTTTCTCTAAGCCTTCAGAGAGAATCTGTGGTCAAATTCAGGTGGAATATCTGGCAGAAGTTGGCCACAGAATCATACTGGAGACCTAGATAGTACACTTCTCAAAGCATTTTGTAGGTCCTCCGGAATGGCTTTATGGTATTCAAAGCTCTTTGCGTACCATATTCATTAGCCTCATGAAATAAGTGGTTCTGCTGTACAACGTTAAATACAACTTCTTTATCCACAGTACTGCTATTTTCTTACCAGTGCATTGCCTGAGCAAGCCTGTCTTGGAAGCCGTGCCCAGCTGCTTCTGCCCCTGGGACACTGGAAGATACAACAAAGAAATATGAAGCAAGAAAGGGTGTAAAAGCTAAGGTAGCCATTTGAAAATCTGATGATTTTAATAATGAGTGGTGCTGAAGTGTTTTAATACAGCATTTTAGAGAGAAAAAGAACTCAGCTATCCTAGTGGCTGCATAAAGGTAAAGGTTTTTTATTTTCTCATGTCAGGAGCAACTTGAGAAATTGCAAGTCGCTTCTGGTGTGAGAGAATTGGCTGTCTACAAAGACGTTGCCCAGGGGATGCCCAGATGTTTTGATGTTTTAACCATCCTTGAAGGAGACTGGAGCTGACAGAGGGAGCTCTCCCCGAATTCAAACCTCTGGCCTGTTGGTCTTCAGTCCTGCCGGCACAAGGGTTTAACCCATTGCGCCACCGGGGACTCCAGGGGTAAAGGTAAAGTTTTCCCCTTGACATTAAGTCTAGATGTGTACAACTCTGGGGAGTGATGCTCATCTCCATTTCTAAGCCAAAGAGCCAGTCATGTGGCCGGCATGACTGCATGGAGAACCATTACCTTCCTACCGAAGCAGTACCTATTGATCTACTCACATTTGCATGTTTTTGAACTGCTAGGTTAGCAGAAGCTGGGTCTAACAGTGGGAGCTCACCCCACTTGCCGGATTCGAACCATCAGCCTTTCAGTCAGCAAGTTCAGTAGCTCAGTGGTTTAACCCACTGCACCACCGGGGGCTCCAATGGCTGCACAGAACAGCATATTATTACAGGTTGAATACCCCTTATTGAAAATGCTTGGGATCAGAAGTGTTCTATATTTTGGGTTTTGTGGTTTTGTTTTTTTGAGGAGGGATTTTGGAATATTTGCATATACACAATGAGATATCATGGGCCCCTTTTACACTGTCCTTATATCCCAGGATCTGATCCCAAATTATTTGCTTTGAACTGGATTATATGAGTCTCCACTGCCATATAATCTGGGATAAGTAGATAATCTGAGATTGGATCCTGGGATATAAGGACAGTGTAGAAGGAACCTTGGAGATGGGATCCATGTTTAACACAAAATTCATTTATGCTACATATTACACACATAGCCTGAAGGTAATTTTATACACAATAATTTTAATAACATCGTGCATGAAACAAAGCTTGTGTACATTGAACCATCAGAAAGAAAGGCATCACTATCTTAGCCACCCACTTGGACAATTGTGGAGTATTTTGGATTTTTTTTTTCATTTTATCATGTCAGAAGCAACCTGAGAAACTGCAAGTCACTTCTGGTGTGAGAGAATTGGCCATCTTGCAGAGACATTGCCAAAATGTGTTACCATCTTGTGGGAGGCTTCTCTCATGTCCCCGCATGGGAAGCTGGAGCTGACAGTCGGGAGCTCACCCTATCTTGCAGATTCGAACCCCCAACTTTTTGGATTTGGGATGTTTGATCTGTACTACTACTAAAATTTATTTTGTAATCTTCCTGGGGCTGATTTTGGAGTATATTAGATTCCGGAATTCCGGAAAAGGGATGCTCAACCTGTTCAAAACTTTCTGTAAATGTTTAAATGAATCCCAGCAATACCTGCTTACCGAATTAGCTTTACCCTTCTTTTTTCCCCTCTTTCCAATTGAAAACAGTACCCTGACCCTTTGCAAAGTTCATTTATAAAGTGCCAGGCATCTCGAGCAACCACTGCATGTGTCATCCCTTTGCTCTGGCACAGTAAGAAAAAGTGAATATATGGACAGTGTAACTGGGGGTGGGAGAGAGAAGAATGCCTTGTATTGATGCCACCTCTCCCATCTTGCAGCTTTTTCCTGCTGAGGAAGAAAGCTAGTTTCCTAGGAGACTGGCAGCTCCCTGTAGTGGGGTAAGGAGCAAAATTGTATGTGTGTGTGTGTGTGCTGGAAGGGGAGGAACATTTACAGGCTTCTCCTTGACAGCAGAGGTGCTAAATGAAGGGAAATATATTCAGTACACGCAGTGCACCCCCAGAGAGTGGGATCCGTGGCGAACAGCGGGAGAAAGCCCTTTAAATAGAAGTGCGTCACCACAGTAACAGCCCACCTGCTTGAGAACTACTTGACCTCAGGAATCGGCTCCCCTTTTCCCCGTAACACCTTTTGAGATATCACCCCAGAATGAAAGCGCTGTACGTATGTGTTTGTTCTATCTATTTATGGTTTGTATACACACATGCATCCTAAGGACATATCCTTTGTTGTTTTTGATCTTGGATTAGAACAACAGCATTTGTTCGGGACTGAGAAAATTATTGGCATCACGATCAAGCAATATGAAACATCTCTACTTCCCTGTCCTTTTGTCCTTCTAACTGCAGCTCTAATGTCCTTATAATTTCAGATTGGAGTTTCCAAATTCAGAATGTAATTCAGCATTTTCCAACCTGCCTCTAATTCCTCGAAAAGGAATGATGATAGAATTATTTCATAAGATTCAACTATGAAGCTGTCCAACCCAGTAAGTATCCCATTTTCAACAGAGGATAGTCAGAGGCCACTTCAAATTCAAAATTGGGAATGTGAAGGCAGTGTCCACCACTTGAGTAATCTGGCTGAGAATTGGAAATACCCCGATGGGATGCTGCCATGATTGTTAATACTGAATCGTAATGCTATAATTATGTAGCATGACAAAGTCCTATATTTATCAAACAATACAAGTGTTGGAAAATAATCTTAGAACTGAAGGAGACCCCAAATGTCATCCAGTCCACCTCTTTGCCATGTAGGAATACACAATCAAAGCACTCCCCGCAGAAGGCCATCCAGCCTCCACTTAAAAGTCTCCAGAGAAGGAAATTCCACTACACTTTTAGGCAGCATATTCCACTGTTGAACAGCTCTAACCGTCAAGAAGTTTTTGTTATTTTTATACTGTATTATGATGTTTTTGTTTATATTGTTTTATGATGTTGTTTTATGAGCTTTATTGTGCTATTTTAAACTATGTTGATCGGGCTTGTCCCCATGTAAGCCGTCCCAAATCCCTTCGGGAAGATGGAGGCAGGATACAAAAATAAACTTGCTATCATCATCAACAACAACAACAACATTATTTAGGTGGGATCTCTTTCCTGTTTTAAATCCATTGATCCTGGAACTCCAGGTATCGGTGGTGGCCAGGAGCACCTTCGCACAATTAAAACTTGTGCACCAGCTGCACCCATACCTTGAGACACCTGATTTGGTCATGGTAGTCCATGCCTTAGTCACATCCCGTCTGGACTACTGCAACACTCTCTACATGGGGCTGCCTTTGAAGATAGTTCGGAAGCTTCAATTGGTTCAGAGATTGGCAGCCAGATTACTAACTGGAGCACCATATAAGGAGAGATCTTTTGGCTGCCGGTCTGCTTCGAGGCTAAATACAAAGTGCTAGTCATGAGCTTTAAAGCCCTAAACAGCTTGGGTCCAGGCTATTTGACTGATCGCCTCCCCCTTTTACAAGCCAGCTTGGGCACTGTGGTCAGTGGAGGAGGCCCTGCTCTCAGTCCCACCCCTATCTCAAGTTCAGATGGTGGAAATGAGGGAGAGGGCCTTCTTTGTGATCACCCCCCACTTCTGAAACTCCCTCCCTAAAGAAATGGTCCTTCCCTCCTCTCCTTCAAAAAACAACTGAAGACTCATTTCTGCTCACTAGCATACGGAAAGGAGGAAGACTAGATAATGAGAGACCACTACTTGACCTCTGGTCGAGAATTATCACTGTATTTGGGCTCTGTCACTCTGTTAGCCAAGCTACCATCACTGGCCACACAATCAACCCATATAATTTTGTGAACCTTAGTTGGTCCCTGTAAATCTATTGTGGTGGTTATATGTTTGATTTTATGTCAATATATAATTTTTGTTTGATTATGTTATTGTTCAATTTATTGATTTTAGGTTCTAATGTTGTTTGCATATGTGGGTTTCTTCGGGAATATTATGTCAGTATTGTTTGTTTTACTGAGGAATTGAATGTTTGCCTTTTTGTATGTTGAAATCTGCCCTGAGTCCCCTTAGGGAAAGAGGGCAAAATATAACAATAACAACAACAATAACAATAACAATAATAATAATAATAATAATAATAATAATAATGTCTTAGTTTCTAAGGCAACATAAAAAAAACTCCCCTCCCCCTTAAGTGTGACATCTTTTCAAATCTGTAATAGCAGCTTGCATGTTCCCTCTTAACCTTCTCTTCTCAATGCTAAGCAATACTAAGCAGGCCCAGTTCCATAAACCGCTCCTCATAGGGCTTGGCTTCCAAACCTTTGACCATTTTGGTTGCCCTTCTCTGGACAACCAGGTGATCAATTTCCTTCTTGAATTGCGGTGCCCATAATCAATTCAAGTTGGTGCTGTGCAGACAGCAACAAGACCATCCTGATTATCAGATAAAGAACCCAGGGGTCATGACCCAGGCAACTAAAACGATCAAGGGTCTGGAGAACAAGCCCTATGAGAAGCGGCTTAAGGAGCTGGGCCTGTTTAGCCTGAAGAAGAGAAGGATGAGAGGAGATATGATAGCCATGTATAAATATGTGAGAGGAAGCCACAGGGAGGAGGGAGCAAGCTTGTTTTCTGCTTCCATGGAGATTAGGACAAGGAACAATGGCTTCAAACTACAAGAAAGGAGATTCCATCTGAACATGAGGAAGAACTTCCTGACTGTGAGAGCCGTTCAGCAGTGGAACTCTCTGCCCCAGAGTGTGGTGGAGGCTCCTTCTTTGGAAGCTTTTAAACAGAGGCTGGATGGCCATCTGTCAGGGGTGATTTGAATGCAATATTCCTGCTTCTTGGCAGGGGGTTGGACTGGATGGCCCATGAGGTCTCTTCCAACTCTTTGATTCTATGATTCTATGAAAGCAATTAAAATGTAATGGCTTCAGTTTCAAGACCCTTCTTGAAACTACCCATTTCTGGAAAGCCTAGTGCAGGATGGGAGAGCTTCCTGCTGGTTTCATAGTCTCCATCTGTTGGCTATTTCCATTTTCGATTGACTACCAAACTTACACAGGCCAGGCATCTCCCTCACGGTGTCATCTGAGTCCTGAGCTTCTTCTTCCTCCTCCTCCTCCTCTTCCTCCTCCTCTTCCTCCACATCCTCAGCATACTCTTCTTCCATCCAGGAACTGTTCGATTCCAAATGGCTTTGTGCTAAGCGCTGCACAGCTGTTATGTATTGAAAGAAGGGAAAAAAATTAAACCACTACATTACTCTGGTTGTCAAGATGAAGAATGCCATCCATAATTAACATTTGGAAATAACATAAGCAAAAGTTATTTTTATTGGGAACTAATCCATTTACTTCTCCCCGGCTATTTTATTAATTCCATTCACTTAAGTCAGTGGGTCCCCTGATGTTTTGGGCTTCAACTCCCAGAAATCCTAACAGCTGGTAAACTGGCTGGGATTTCTGGGAGTTGTAACCAAAACATCTGGGGACCCACAAATTGAGAACCACTGACTTAAAGAGATGTGCCTAGCTTTCTTCTTTCCCACTTGATCCTCAATACACATAGTGTGCAAGGGCTTACCTTTTTCATTGTCACATAGAATATATGTGACTTGAACAAATATACACATAGAATATATGTGACTTGAGCATTGAAGCAATGGTCCTCCGTCATCAACTCCGCTGGACCGGCCACGTTGTCCAAATGCCCAATCACTGTCTCCCAAAGCAGTTGCTCTATTCCAAACTCAACAATGGAAAAGTGAAGGAGGACAGGAAAATAGATTTAACCTTAAAAACTCTGGCATAGACACTGAGAACTGGGAAGCCCTGGCCCTTGAGTGCTCCAGTTGGAAGTCAGCTGTGACCAGCAGTGCTGTAGAATTTGAAGAGGTACGAATAGAGGTTGAAAGAGAGAAATGTGCCAAGAGGAAGGCGCGTCAAGTCAACCCCGACCGGGACCACCTTCCATCTGGAAACCGATGCCCTCAATGTGGGAGAAGATGCAGATCAAGAATAGGGCTCCACAGTCACCTACAGACCCACAGCCAGGACATTACACTTGGAGGATCATCATCCTCAGACTATGAAGGATCGCCTAAGTAATGTGGCTTGAACCTTGGTTAAGTCTAAATTCAATACTCTAAGCAGAAAAGCAGATAGAAAAAAAATGCTCAAAGAGCCATTTACAACCTTAGAGTCTTTACCTGTGCCAATAAAAGATCATAGTACAGACAAAACAGTTCAAATATCTTTTCAAGGCAAGCTTAACTTTATGTTCCTACCGCAAGTTAATAGATTAGGTGTTGCTAAGTACAATGAAGGAAATAATACTTGAGTAATCAGGAAAGGCAGGGGAATAATTCTGACAGTTAAAATCTCAATCAGATAAAAAGAAGCCCTAATTGAAAGAATTATGGACAAAATTTCTGGATTAACGTAACAACTTTTCAATAGAAACTTTGTGCAGAACCATTCTTAATAGAACTTATTACCAAAGCCCACAAAAGTGATGTCACTTTAAAAAAGCGATTCACTGTATTACAATTTTCCCCATTTCCTTTTGACTTCCGGGTGTGGTAGAGCCCTTACAATTTTAAGATAATGGCATAAGATTAGGGGGATAATTCAAAATGTCTAAAAGTGCTCTTTTAAAGCCACTAGAAAAAAGTATTACTAGTTACATTCATCAAGAGAAAGAGCTCCTTCTCTTTATGTTACTTTTGAAATATGTATTTGTTATGCTCTCATTGAAAAAATAACAATAATAATGATAGTAATACATGAGTAATGTCAGTAGCTACATTATTTGTGACTTGTTGTTTCTGTGGTATTGAAGATGAAATACGGTTCTGGCCCAGCTTACTTGTCTGAACGCATCTGCCTCTACGTCCCACCTCGTAACTTAAGATCAKCCGGGGAGRCTCTGCTCTCGCWTCCACCAACATTGCAAACGCGGCTGGTSGGGACGAGGGACAGGGCCTTCTCAGCAGTGGCCCCCYGCCTGTGGAACRCACTTCCAAATGAGATACGATCGACCCCATCYCTCCTGGCTTTCAGGAAGRAAGTGAAATCRTSGTTGTGGGAMCAGGCCTTTGGTCAGCAGACATAAAGCAGCACTGTGGTTGAAATGGACTGGAAAGACAATTTACATGAGGATACGGTTTTATTGGTAATTAAGATTTTATACTGYTTAATTAATGGCTTATGTATTTTATGTATTTTAATGRTTTKATGGKTTTKTTTAATGGTTATTGTATTAGTTGTTCATGTAACGGCATTGAATTKCTGCCTATGTAAGCYGTCCTGAGTCCCCCTTTCGGGGKAGAGAAGAGATGGGATATAAATACCAGAAATAAATAAATAATAAATAGCAAGGGGATATTTTGCTTGCTCTGATGGACCAAAATTCTGATCCAATGCTCTTTAAGAAGCAAGTTCTGACTGCTGGGATAAAAGATTATTTTTCACTTTAAAAATTGATTGTTTACTTCAATTTTAATTTTGAATTAAATTTATTAGAAGGTTAACATATATTTATATACTAGCTATACCTGTGACATGTTGCTGTGGCCAACCTTCCCTCCTTTCTTTCTCTCCTTCCTTCCCTCCCTTTTCCTGCCTTCATTCCTTTTATTTCTTTCCTTCTCTCCTTCCTTCCTTTTCTTCCTCTTCCCTTCCTTCCCCCCTTTTCTTTCCCTTCCTCTTTCTCCCTTCTCTACCTATTCTTGGACTGCAACTCCCAGCAATCCTCCTGATCCATCTACCTACCTACCAACCTATCTACCTATCTCTATCTAATCTATCTATCTGGAGGATTGCTGGGAGTTGCAATCCAGGAATAAGAAATTGGAAATATGCAGGGATTGGGATGCTCTCAAAGAAAACCAAGGAGAAGAAAGCTCCCATCTTGGAAGCAGTGCATTTGAATCATCCTCCTCTCCTAAAGGGCTTAGTCTAGGGGATGCCGGGAGCTGTCATCCGGAAGAGAGTGTGGATATACTATTGTGTGTTTTGTTTGCCAGGGGGAGTCGTTTTTGCGCATGTGCTGTAGCGTCCTTTTGCTTTTTTTGGCTTTTTAAGTCCCGCTCTCTGTGTTTTTCAGTGTGTTTATGAGTGATGGCCACTCATTGGCCTGATAGGTGTATTGTGTCCAAATTTGGTGTCAATTTGTCCAGTGGTTTTTGAGTTATGTTAATCCCACAAACGAACATTACATTATTATTTATATAGATATGTTCAAATTCGGTATATTAAGAAATGAATGCATTAATACAGCCACTCTGGGCACCAATCCTGGTAATGATAATGATGATGATGTACAGCTGAGGGATAAAAGAAGAGCTTAATAAGAAGGGCATCTCCCAATCTGGTCCTTACAAAACATATAAGAAAATTATACAGCTATTTGTATACTCTGCTCCCCTGGATGGCACCTTACCAACGACCAAAGAAAGCAGAAGGAAATGAAATACATCATTAATATCAAAGACTGTGGATTTGCATATGATGTTTGCATGTCAATTAAATGGATGTATGTCAACTCAGAAATATAAACACCATAGAAGTAAGTGGGGAAAATTGTGACCATATGATTTGTGTACATATCCAAATCTGCTATTCATCTGCTAACTGTGGGCTGGCCTCTTGAGCTCTAAGCTGCACTTGGACTGAATAGACCTTCAAACAGAGGAAGTCTTACAAAAGAGGAGCATCCTCTGAAAACAAGGACATGCTGAATGTTCCCCGTTGTTTTCTTTAGTTTGTATATGAAACCTTGGCAGAGTTCCTGTTTCCCATGTCATCTCCAAGGCCTCAGGACAGAACCTTGTGGTGGGGCAATATCAGTTTATCAAGGACGAAGATGCAGATGACCTTCCTTCTATGTTCTTGATACCATTGCAGAGTGACAAGTCTGAGATCAGGTCTCTTTGTTTTACAAGCCAAGAATGGCAACAGATGCTATGGATCCCCACCTGACACCAGACCCACTTTACCTATCCTACTTTCCACCCTGTTTTTGGACAACAGAAGAGTCTGGAGTGAGGGCATGATGCATCTGGGCCAGATTTAAGCCTGAATCTCTCTAAGAGTGATCCAAATTGCTGATCCTATTAGGACTGGGGTGGGTGGTAGTTTCAGCATGTGGATAATTCTCTTAGTTTAAAGCACACCCACTTTTTTCTTTTGTCATATGTCCTCAATTCAAAACTAACTTATGGATACTCAACCACAGGGTCTTCTTGACAAGATATAACCAGAGGTGGGCTCTCCTTGCCATTTTTAGAGGCCGAGAGGGTAAAAATACTATGATTCCACAGCATTGACCCATGGCAGTCATCATTAATATGTCTGAATGCATCTCCCCCTATGAAGCATCACGGAGATTAAGATCCTCTGGGGAGGCCCTGCTTTCCATCCCGCCATTGTCACAGGCATGATTGGTGGGGATGAGAGACAGGGACTTCTCGGTGATTGCTCCCTGGCTATGGAACTCCCTTCCTGGTGAGATCAGGTTGGCCGCCTCCCTCCTGTCCTTTAGAAGGATGGTGAAAACTTGGCTGCGGGACCAAGCTTTCGGGACAGGGCAATAAAGTGGCAACAGGAAAGATGACCAGGCCAATTAGACTTGACGCGGATGACTAGGACGGTTTTAAATTCAAAGTGCTGGTGTTGACCTATAAATCCCTAAATGACTCCGGCCCAGTTTACCTGTCCGAACGGATTCTCCCCTATGAACCATCAAAGTTGTTAAGATTTTCTGGAGGGGCCCTGCTCTCGGTCCCACCACCCTCGCAATCGCGTCTGGTAGGGACGAGGGACAGGGTCTTTTTGGTGGTGACCCCTCGGCTCTGGAACTCTCTCCCACTGGAGATTAGAACTGTCCCTTCTCTCCTGACTTTTAGAAAGCTGGTAAAAACTTGGCTTTGGAATTTAGCATTTAATCAGAGTGAGTCAATAACTCTTGACCACACGGATGGATGGTGATGAATTGTGATTTCATTCTGACGACTTGGCCTTATGTAATTATATGATTGTATTTTAATGTTTTTTATGTATTAGTGTGTTATGAGGTGGGATGTTTTATACTATTGTTTATGAATCTTTTGTTGTGAACCGGCCTGAGTCCCTCTTCGGAGGTCGAGAAGACCGGGTTATAAAAGCGCTAAATAAATAAATAAATAAATAAATGGTGTATTTTAATATTTTGATAAA